TAACATGTAACTTCTCTTTGTAACATCTATAAATTGTCCAACAAAAAGGTGACGATGATACTCAAACTTATCAGGTAGAACCAAATTCTCCTAACTAATTTACAACGAAATGTGTAACCACGAAAGAGGAGAATAAATAAACAGACCCTGGAAGTTAAAGGAATAATACGGGCTGATTTAGGTTTAAGTGGTAGAAAGTTTTCAAATCGTGATTTTCAAGTATACTCCCACTTCTGGATTCTGGACTTTTGAAGGATATTATGGGGAGAAGTTACATATTAATCACTCATTTGTTAGTAATTAGAGGATGCGCACAAAGATGCAATCAACAGGGTTGGGGAAGGGTGAGGAGAGAGAAGCTCCCTAGAAAAGAACAATGGGAGAGGTCATTGTTATCTTTAAGAGCTAAGAAAAGTGATGGATGTCAATTGTTTTGTTGTGTATAAAATGCTGAGAAAAATGTTTAATAAACACAAGCCTCTGGTGAATGAAGTCATTGGTATAAACGCACAAGGCGGTTAACTACGTATCCTTTGCATAATTCTGTTCTTTTTGCTTTATGATGGTTGGAATGGTCAGAACTGTTGCCAAATAAAACTTGGTAATAAAACCATGAGCTGCAATTCTACCCATTTTCTTTTACTACATGGTAGTCTCATTAAATTATTTATCCTCTCGATGTGAATAAGTGAATATTGTTTTTGCACACCACGAATGCGACTGTACATGCTCTGTACATGCGATTGTACATACTTTGGAAAACAACAAAAAATATACAAGGATCGTGTTCAAGGAAATATCGGAATTTCATATATCGTCAAACCTACTTGTACCACCAAAATTATCCATTACATTGAATCTTACTTCAAGACACTGGGAATCAATCCTTTTTAAAATCCTCTCACTCCATCCTGCCTGAGATTTTAAAAGAAAATCGTAGTGAAAAGGAATCAGACACATATCAAAATGCCCAATAAATAAGCTAAATTGTCTCAGGAATGGCAAAAAATATGGTTAAACTTCACTCCTAAATCTTACACTTGATCAAAGGAAGTTAATAAGAGAATTTGGCTGGGTTGTCCAAAGAGCTCGGCTCAGTTCACCACCGAGTTCTGCCCAGTCAGACATATGGATTTTCTTCGCCTCCGCCAAACCAACGAGATGAAAATACCTTGAAAGAATCCAATTGCTTTTTCTGCCGCACACTTCTTCTTTGATACGTTACAGTTATTGTTATTATAGAGGTGAATTGCCAACCATTTGCCATTCTAGGCCCAGGGATTGTCTTAACCTTTACTTTGAGCCTTACTGGTGAAGTGAGAATGACATTGCTATAGGCTGAGAGGTCATTACCTTCTATCAAAATTAAGACACCTGACATCTCCACAAATGTTAATGAGTGAAAATAAATGAGTATTGCACTTAGGTAACTTGGCACAAACCATCAAAACTTTCCCGAACATAATCTCAAAAACAACGCAACCCAATCGATTACTCGCCCAACAAAAGATCATCTATTTGTTTAGAGTTAATCAGCGCACTAAGATGAATATGGAAAGGCTATCGGGCATCAAATGAACTAACATCTGATAATATCTCGAACTGTGAACAGGACCATAAGAGTGACGCTAAATGAGTACGCTTCATACTTCGAGTCTCTTGACTGATGCAAACACCATGTCTCAGACGCTTTTTTCGAAATAGTTTCACAATTCTTTTATTACATTTTTTTTCCAATCTCTGTAGCTCTTAGCAGTAGAAACAAAACAAGAATGTAAATATTGCAAAGAAAAGCTCGTCCATGGAAAAACGCCAACGTTTCACTGAGAGGTTTGAAATTTCAGAATTTAGACCACCTGTTCATGGTCTAAAATTCAAATTCAGTTGAAAGCTTCCTTAGGACTAGAGGATATTAGGATCGCACAGTTCTAACTCAATTTTGTCATTTCAACTAAAATTTTGTTCAAAAGTTCTCTTCTATTGTTCAGTCGCATGTCACATTTAAACGATGTTAAAAAGAGTGAGAAACGCCGCGTAAAAGAAAAAACAAAAACAAAAAAAACAAGCAACCCAGAAGGAACGAGCCTCTATAAGTATAAAAGTTTTGTATTCAAATGATGGTTATTAATAGCTTTTAGGACCTGTCAAGTCTCTCATTTTAAAACAAAGTATACGATACCATACCATATTGTGGTGAAGAAGGGGTTGGAAGACACGCCAGAAATTCTTCAGTGGTATACTTTGGAAGCGGCTTACATCATAAATTTAAGTAAAGTAAAGATAAAAAGAACTTGAACACGTTAAATGACAAAAAATAACCTGTCACATTTGCAGCGTCATTAACTTAAATGAACTCCACAGTCGCCCAATTGTTAGTGTCAGGCTGAGTAATAAATTATTCAAATTTTTCTGCAATTTACTTGACCTGATGCTGAACTTAAATTCAAATTGTAGCTTCATCTCTGCACTCAAGTTTATATGTTGTTCTCGAGTAATGGAATCATGTTTACTATGAACAAATTAAATGAAAGTCACATCATCAATACATGCTTTGCTTGGAACAGACAATTTGCGTTCCTCGAGGTTAATTATGTTTTCCTTAGCTTATGAATGGAATTCTTTAGTTAGGCAATAAATTATGAAAAAATGAGAGGGATATGTTATGAAAATACTCCTAGGAGCTGATTTTAAATTAGCTTTCGTATGTTTGTAGTTAAAATTTACCAAACCTTTTTTCGTGCCTAAAAGCTAATAATTTATACCGATTAGTTTTCATCTAAAATTAATGAAACAAGTATCTTCGCTATTGGTTGGCAAACATCGCAAACAGAACGATTATAATACTTTATCTTCCGGCCCGAATCTTGTTGAATTCAATACTTGCGAGGAGCCAAAACAGAAACGATGGAGTTCTTTTTTGATGTTAATTATTATACATTGGCTTAAAACAAACGGTTGGTATTGTAATCATAGTTGTAATACCTTGATGAAAGACAACGTTTTTAACTCGGTAACAATCAGGTGGTTGAGGACCGCATTTCTTATATTTATCAGCTCTAGAGTTACGTAGGATAAGTTTGACTTATATCCCAAAGAAGGGTTCGGTAAATATTTGACGGCAAACTAACTACGGCTATCTTTTAGGATTTAGTTTTCAGATATCACCCATGAATGCCATCCATAGAAGGCATGTGTATTTGTTTTAACGCGATGGTGGTCGAATTCTACTTTGTTTCTACTTTCCCTCGACGGTTTTGAGGTTTTGCGGTGCCTTGGAAAAGATTAAACGGAAAAAAGAATTGTAGCAAATGTCCTGCGGGAACTTACTTTATTCTCTATGTATAGAGGGCTGAAGTAGTCTATAAGACTGCCATAAACAATTAAAATAAACAATTGATAGCGTTCATATAAGTTTCGGCTAGAACGGAAACATGAGTCTCGTTTTGGATAAATGATTCGAAACAACTTTTCTCTCAACCTAATGATAACTGAGTCAAAAAATATTTTTTTGGGAATAAATATCAAGAGAATACATTTCAAATTGCTTGACCGATCGTACTTCGTTTCTGCTTTGAGAAGTGGAATCTTCAGGAATTAATTATTTTCAAGTCACACAGGTGTTCTTATCTGGGACTCAAGTTTCATGCACAAAGGCTGTGCATTGAGTAACGAAGCTACCTGGCAACAATTTGACGCAAAGTGCGGATGTAATTTCTGGAGGGCTTTTCTTAAGTATGTCAACACATCATTCTGAAATGTTTGAGGGCACTCGTTTTTGAGCAGAGGTGAATTATATATCTTTTAGGCTTAAAAGTTTCCGAGACCTGATAACCAAGTCTCCCTGACGTTGGTGAGTGCGGGGCTCTTAGGAATAATTGCGTGTTTATCATTCGCTATTCCTTTTCAGGGTAAGTGAAATTCTCTGTTATCATTAAGATGAGAAATAATGTTGTTTTCTGTGCTAATAAAACGATAAAATTGAATGTGCTTCATCCGTGTGTTGCTACATTAAAGAGAAAATTGCGAGCATTTGAGCTCTAACATATGGTGCAGAATATTTTATTCAGGAATTCAAAGAAGCGAGCACTCATCTTTCACCAACAAAACCTACCACAAGGCTATTTATTACCGCTAAAGACCAAATTAAAGATTCGTGTAAACGGTACAGAAATCATGTAAAGAGTTCTTCCGTGTATAACGTTAAAAATAAAATCGAGACCAAAGATTTGCCGCAATTAGACAGGCCTTTTTCAATTAAAAAAAGCCTCAATTCAATCAACGAATTAACAATGCAAGTTCAACCTCATATCTTCCCTCTTAAACTGATATGGAGGAGCAATCGAATCATTTTGTTCAAACCGAATCTTTAGCGCGAAAGTTCTGCCTCGTTGTTTAACAAGGGTGACGGAAAATTGCAAGCACAGTAAGGTAAGGAAAAACCGGAGTCTTATTTAACCTTTGTTTTCCCATCAAATTGCCATAATTTGAATATTCTCTCCCATAAATCGAATGGTCACGAAATGTTTTTTATCGCCAAAATGTGGCAACTCGAAACAACAATGGATCAAGACATTAAAACAAAAATTTGGATGCTTGCTTCACTCGTTTCATTTTCATCTGTTAGTCGTGAAGCCGATTAACAACTTAGCTGCGATTCTGTCTAAGAAACAACATTTAAAATTCCCAAATAACTGCAAGAGATGTAATAGTAATAGATATCGAAGAAGCGGATGAACAAAGGTGTAGCGACTCAGACAGTAAAACATGTGGTAGACGTGTTGTTGACTTGCAGCCGACTCAGAATGGATTCCTTCATTTCTCTTCTGTTTGTTTCTCCCTCCGTCTATTTTTTAGTGCATTTTTGTTTGTTTACTTGTTTGGTTTGGTTTGCGTTAAATTTATGGGCCAGAAAAAAACGTTCAAAGCATATTCCTAAATAATATACACTTTCCAATTTCAGCATCGGTGGTAATGGCGTGGAATTCAAGCTTCCTCGTCCTAATGGCCTCTTTGTATCTCATGAACCTCGCTATTGCTAAAAATCCGTGCAAGACAGAAGTTAGCGTACCTGGAATGGCTCTCAAAGGATTCGTCTTTAAAAAGGTCCCAGTATCAGCTCCTCATGTGTGCGATATCACCTGCGAGAGGGAAACGATATGTCAAAGCTACAACTATGTAATTGGCGAAAAGTCCTGTGAATTGAACTCCCGAACCAAGGAAGCAAGGCCCGAGAATTTCCAGCCAGATGATTTTCGCTTTTACATGGGACGCATTAGTGGTAGAAGTATGTATCCGGTTTAGTTTATTTTAAATACAAATCTTTCTCAATGAGTTCTTAGTAAAAACCTGCCACATTCTGAGAGCAAGTGTCTGATTGCTTTATTATTAAATACATTAATATCAGCTAAAAGTTCACGGATCTTCATTATTATTATTCTGTGTTTATCTTGCCCGGACAAATACATTTTCAACTCTAATCTGTTTTGAAACTTCTATAACCCTTAAACTATATATTGATGAAGTCATGTCTACATCATAGCCCCCTTAGGGTCTATTCCCGAACTAACAGCGTTATCGTGCCAAGAAATAAAATTAAGTGAAGGTAAAGACAGCATCAGTAAAAAGTATTGGTTGGATCCAGCTAATGTCGGGAGTTCAGAGTTGGTTTACTGCGACATGATTTTGGAAGGTAAGTCAGTATACCAAGAACAGAATTTACACAATGTTTGGTATGCCTTTGTCCTTGCCTTTTGTGAAATGTTTTCACTATGTCTCAGAAATTTCTTCGATTAATTTCCAAATAGACATCGATGAATGCAAAGGCAGCAATAACGTTAATTGTGACGAAAATGCAAACTGCTCCAATACTGTTGGGTCTTATAATTGCACCTGCAAAGACGGATTTACTGGGGATGGTCACTCGTGCTCAGGTAAAATAGTTACAGACATGCCGAGGTACAATGTGTAATTTTTTTCTCGTCCAAAAAAACACTGGAGGTACATTTGAGCTATCTACAATCGAGTGAGTCCCATACATGTTTATGCACGGAGTTGCCATGATCTACATCCGGTTTGTTTCATAGCCATCATGTTAGGAGATGTAAAAAAAACCGTGGGAGAAGAGAATATAATATCTAGATTCCACGTTTCAAAAAATCTAGTTCGTTAAAGACAAAAAAAGAGAAAGCTTTTTGTTATTATTTGAAATGATTAAAGTAGTTGCAAATCATTTGGTGGCAAAAATAAAGTGCAAAATACATTTACGCTTTCTCAGATATTGACGAGTGTAAAGGAAATCACTCCTGTCACGTGAATGCTAAGTGCAATAACACCCTTGGATCACATACATGTGAATGTCAGCCTGGATATACTGGAAATGGACGAAACTGCACAGGTGAATTTAATTTCTTCGTTACAATATTTAGAATAGGCCTGTATGACACGTTTAACTACGGCGCCGCACCATTCAGCCACGATGCAAGACAATTATATAATTTATTACTCATAACTCGTTATGATTTAGGCAGCCGTTTCTCATGTTAAGAACCTCTTAGGTAATATCCCTGACTTTTAAATGAACAATTTTGGTGACTGATGCACTGTTATTCTGCTTTTAAATAGACCCTAAAAAAGGTTATTGACAAAGGCATGAAAATAAAATCGCTCGTTTGGCTCTGAACCCTGTGCACATGATAGATATGTACGTGACTTTCCATGGCGCTACATTTTCGTTGATATATTTGAGAGAAAAAAGTTGAAAATTATTATCATCAAGTTTTATAAAATAGTCAAGATACTACAAGCGCCCCGATTGGTCAAAATTAATTGTTATAGGGGGCAAGTTTCTAAAGAAACTTTGGTGCTGCGTCGGTGGGAGAGTATAGCAGGTAATTTAGTTAACAACTGAGTTCAAAATATAAATTGGCCACCGTAAAGAGTAAAAAAAGCTAAGCAGCCTTTTTACTCTTTACGGTGGCCAATCTACGTTTTCAACCCAGTTGTGGACACTAAATTACCAACTTTTGATTATGTTTTAAATGATTTAAAAACCTTACACAAACTTTAATGTGATACAGACATGGCACTCTCCGTGGAACTTGAAAACCCTAAAAGAATCTCTAACCTTCCAAGATTCCTTTATAAAAAGAGCAGTTATGATCAATCAAACTTATTTGACTTACGCAAGCCAATTGGCCTTATGATTACAAATAATTGGATGATGCTAGTAGGTAGAGAGTTATTACACACTCCTGGGAAATAATTGGGTACTAGCGAATACTTCTGGGCTGGTATCTCTGTGTGGGAGCTGAGGATCAAAAATGTCTTAAACGCATTTGGTAGCATCCAGTTGAGCCGGTAAAAACAACTCAGGCTTTGATGGGCGATTAAAGCAAGAGGAAACGTAATTCTTCATAAAGCTATCATTTCATTTTAGTTCCTTTGTGCATCATCATTGTCTAACCCAAATTCATCAAAACCTGGGTGACGCTAATAGAAAGAGCAGTTAAGCTACATCAAAATTTGGTAAGCTGTTTTGTGACAACTTACTTCCCGTTTTTTTTTTTTTTTTTTTTTTTTTTTTTTTTTTTTTTTTTTTTTTTTTTTTTTTTTTTTTTTTTTTTTTTTTTTTTTTTTTGGGGGGGGGGGGGGGGGGGGGTGAAAAAGCCAGGTGTTTCAGAGCGGTCTGGTTGATAAATTGTAATATTCGCCATGAAATATACGCTTCAAATATCTAATTTGTAAAGCAAACAAAAAAAAAAGGACATGAGTTTTGTTGTTTACAATTGTTAAAGTAATTACACGACTGAGACCCATTTTAAAATGAATAACGTGATAAAGTGCAAATATATAAATGGTTTCTCAGATATTGACGAGTGTAAAGGAAATCACTCTTGTCACGCGAATGCTATCTGCACGAACGCCAAAGGATTGTACGTCTGTACTTGTCACCCCGGATATACTGGAAATGGACGCAACTGCACAGGTATTTGACGCGTTTCTTCTGTAACCATTCCCATCAGAAAGAAAAGCACTATCATCGTTGCAAGACTTGTTTTGCCAGCATACCTTGTGTAAAAAAGAGATGAATGTAGGCCTGAAGACAATATTGATAATGACACAATTGTATTAAATAAACATTCAGTGGTAAAAAATCTCAACTGGCAAAGGGGGACTTGATGGATGTGCTTACAGGACAGAACAACAGATTTAAACTCGCGGGAAACCAAGAAAAAAAATCTAGTGAGCGCTAAAGTGAAGTGCTTGCGTCTAGGACCCAAGAAAACAAGACTAAGGTTTCTAAGCTTATGCTCGGCAACTTCTTCCCAATTGCATATTTTGAAAATTTATTCTTTTTTTATGTTATCATTTTACAGATATTAACGAGTGTAAAGGAAATCACTCTTGTCACGTAAATGCTACATGCATGAACACCAAAGGATCGTATGTCTGTACTTGTCACCCAGGATATACTGGAAATGGAAGCGACTGCACAGGTACTTGATGCATTTCTTTTGAAACCATTTCCATCAGAAAGAAAAGCACTATCATATTTGCGAGACTTGTTTTATCGGCATACCTTGTATTGACCCTTTTACTGCTAAGATCTCATTAGTAATTCTGCTTACTGCCTGCCACACAATTCTTATGATGTCAGTTCTAAGAATTTGATATTGAATCAACTGATAATCCCCAAGCTGATATTTTTCCTTATTCTCGTCACTTGTCTGTTCGATATTGTAATGATTTGGTAAGGAGAATTTCTTTCTTGGTCATTAAAGGGAGTTAGGTGGTTAAGTAAACATTCAGTGTAAGGTAAAAAATCTCCACTGGTAAAGGGAGACTTGATAGATAGGAACAGATTTGAACTTGGGGGAACCGAGAAAAAAATCTGGTGAGTGGTTGTGTGAAGCATTTGCGTTTGGAACCACAACACAACAAGACTAGGGTTTCTTACGTTATGCTCGGCAACTTTTTTTTTAATTACAGTTCGTTTCTTTAGTTATGTTTACGATTTTACAGATATCAACGAGTGCAAAGTAAATCACTCTTGTCACGTGAATGCTACATGCATGAACACCCTTGGATCACATGTATGTCAATGTCATGCTGGGTATACTGGAAATGGACAAAACTGCACAGGTGAATTTAATTTCTTCGCTACAATATTTTTAATAGTCCTGTATGCTTTCCAGCTACAGCGTCGCACCATTTAGCCGCGTTGCAAGACAATTAGGTAATTAATTACTCATTACTGGTTTTGATTTAGGCAGCCATTTCTAATGTCAAGATCCTCTTAGGTAATGTCCCTGACTTTTAAAAGAACAATTTTGGTGACTGATGCGTTGTTCTCCTTTAAAATTAACCTTATCACAATGACTGACAGGAGCATGAAAATAAAATCGCTCGTCTGGCTCTGAACCCTGTGCACAGGATGGATATGTAAATGATTTTCCAAGACGCTACGTTTTCGTTGACACTCAAGATATATTTGAGTGAAAAAGTTGAAAATTATTATCATCAAGTTTTATAAAATAGTCAAGATACTACGAGCGCCCTGATTGGTTAAAAAACAATCGTTGATTGCACCGGTAAACCTGTGGAAAATTGAAGTTTATATATGTTATTAAAGTAACAGACCGCACTTTCTATCGGTTTACCAGCGTAGTAAACGTCTTCAGATGTTGGGAAACCATTCGAAAAAAAAGTAGATCAATCGCCTCCAGCTCGTTCTCACAAAATCCAGCGTGGATTATATCGCCAGTAAACTGAGAGAAAGAGCGATAAATAAAGGTTCTACAAGAACTGCGGTGCTGCGTCGGTGGGAGAATGCAACAGGGTAATATAGTATTATCAACTGAGTTGATGAGGTAAATTGGCCACCGTTAAGAGTGTTACAGCGAGTGCTCGAAACGTCAGCTTTGAAACTCTTTACAGAGGCCAATTTGCATTGTCAACTCAGTTGATAAGGTAAGAAAAATAATGGGGAAGGAAAAAAATCTAAAAGAAATGGCAGGTTGAGTCCTGAAGGGATTGTATGACCTTATCTGATCCTTTTCATAGAACGAAAGGAAACCTTAAGGAGGCAGAGAGAAATTACACACTCCTGGGAAATAATTGTGTTAATACCAAATACCTCGGGGCTGGCATTGTTGTGCGGGAGCTGAGAATCAAAAATGTCTTAAACGCATTTGGTAGCATACAGTAGAGGTACATACAACTCAGACTTAAATGGGCGATTAAAGCAAAAGGAAACATGACTCTTTGTAATGCTATCAGTGATTGAGGAAGGGCTAACGCTCGAAACGTCAGCTTTTTTACCCTTTACGGTGGCAAATTTACGTTTTCAACTCGGTTGTTAACACTAAATTACCTGCTATAATTATCAAAACCTGGGTGATGCCCATATTAAGAGTAGTTACGCTACACTGAAATTTGGTCCAGTGTTTTGTGACGACCTATCCCCCAAGGGATGGTACGTTTTGTGGGAGCAGCAGGAACAAGCCAGTTGTTTCAGAGCCGATAGCTTGATAAACTGAAATGATCGTGATAAAATATACGTTTCAAATATCTAATTCGTGGAACACAAAAAGAGAAAAAATTGTTTTATTATGTATGATTATTAAAGCAATCACTCGACTGAGTCCGCTCATTTTTAAAGTGACAAACATGATGAAGTGCAAATATATATGTGGTTTCCTCAGATATTGACGAATGTAAAGGAAATCACTCTTGTCACGTGAATGCTATCTGCACGAACACCAACGGATCCTATCTTTGTGAATGCCACCCTGGATTTAATGGAAATGGTCAAAGCTGCACAGGTGAATTTAATCTCTTTGCTATAATATTTAGAATATTCCTGCTCGAATATAACCTGAAGCTGCTGAGGTGGCCATATTATTAGTTTCTGATATGTAAACGATACCGGTTGTGCCCTAAGTCTGCCTAGAGCTGTCCTTTAATATATTGTCTGAAAAAGAAGGAGTTCAAATCGGATCCTGATGAGTTTATCTAGATTTCCAATATCACTGTTTTAGTCTCAAAGCCTTAAAGTAGTTAAAGACATGCGAGTTACAATGTTTAATTCTTTTTCGCCTAAAAACACTGTAGGTACATTTAAGCAATTGCTATCTACAATCGAGTGAGTGAATAACAGACCAATAATAACCTGCATGCTCTATCTGTGGATCCATAGAATTAAATAAAGCAATTTTAGCAGGAACTATTGTCCTACCAGTACTAAACACGATCGTTAGCAAGCGATCTAAGATTTTAGGGCTTAGTTACCTTTTGTAATTGAGCGTGGCTTTAAGCAACGTTAGGGCTTTTCTTTGATACATTTCTTAAACCATATATGAAAACTCTAAGAACGGGTGCTGTTAATTTTATCGTGAATTAATTCATCAATAAATTAAACTTGCTTCATGTTGAAGTTTATCAAAATAAAACAACACGAAGGTTACCTGCTTTATTCTTCAGTGTTATTTGTTGTCATTGTCGTTTTAACCGTGATTAAAAATTATGCTGCGAATTGAAGTCAGAGATAAAAAAATTTGAGAATAGCTCGGGCTGCACTTTTTTATGTCTTTAGTTTTGATCAGTGCCGGTGAAAACTTGGACAAGAAAGTCATCTACGAAAGAAAATAACAATCAACTTGATTTCGGCACGGTTTTCTAAATAGATGCTGCTATCCAGACCTTTAAATTTAATCTTATAGCAATGATTGACAAAAGCATGAAATTAAAATCGCTCGACTGGCTCTGAACCCTGTGCACAGGATGGATATGTAAGCGAATTTCCATGGCGCTTCAGTTTCGACGACGCTTAAGTTATAATTGAGGGAAAAAGGTTGAAAATATTATCATCAAGTTTTATTAAATAATAAAGATACTACGAGCGCCCTGATCGGTCAAAAATCTACCGTTGATTGCACCGGTAAACCCGTGGAAAATTGAAGTTTATGTTATTAAAGTAACAGACAGCAATTTCCATCGGCTAACCAGCATAGTAAACGTCTTCAGATTTTGGAAAACCATTCGAAAATAAAAGGAAATCAATCACCTCTTTCTCGGAATTACAAAATTTTTTCTCGTGTTCTCATAACATCCCGCGTGGGTTATGTCGCCAGTAAACAGATAGAAAGAGCGATGAATAAAGTGAGTAAGTCTCTAACGAAACTGTGGTGCCGGGTCGGTGGGAGAGTATAACAGGGTAATTAAGTATTATTGAATGAGTTGATAACGTAAATTGGCCACCGTAAAAAGTTTTAAAGCAAACACACAAAACGTCAGCTTTGAGACTCTTAATGATGGCCAATTAACATTATCAACTCATTTGATGAAACCAAATTATATCACTAATCGGATTCATGTCAAATGCGAAAACAAAAACAAAAAATTTTAAAAAGGGAAAAGGAAAAAGAATCGAAAAGAAATGGTTAGGTTAAGTCCTGAAGGAATTGTTAATTTTTCTTTTTGTGACTGTCAGCCTGGATTTAATGCAAATGGTCAAAGCTGCTCCGGTAAATTTAATCTCTTTGCTGTAATATTTAGAATATTCCTGCTCGAATCTAACCTGAAGCTGCTGGGTGGCCACTGTCGGCCATATTATTAGTTTTTCATATGTAAATGACACTAATTGTGCCTTAAGTCTGCCTAGAGCTTTTCATTTAATGCCCTGTCTGAGAAAGATGGAGCTTAAATTACAATCCTGTTGAATTTATTTGAATCTCCATTATCACTGTTTTAGCCTCTTCGAATCATGATATCCTACACATGTACTACTTGACCCCTTAATTATAGCATGGTCAATATTTTTGTTTAGTACGAGTTTCACCACTGATTGGCAAGCTGTCAAAATTATAAGACGTCAGAAAAGATATTCAAGCATCAATTTAAGTAACCTAAGTCCTTTTGCAATTTTCATTCCATTTCGCAGTCGATCCTTGCTATCATTACTCAAACCTGAGTGAAGCCAATCGAAACAAAGATTACAGAACTCCGCAATTTGGACCAGTGTTCTGTGACGACCAACTCTTTGAGGAGTGGTATCGTTTTGTGGGAGATGCTGGAACAAAAATGCCAACAACGCGTGTGTCAGCACTCAGATGTGGTACAGACTGGTCAGGCTGGTTGAACGGTGCTCATCCTACACTGGAAGATGGCGAAGTTTACAGATATGTCTGCTTTAGTGATCACTCTGCTGGTTGTAAATCCTCAAAAACTATTTTAGTAAAAAACTGTGGATCCTACTTCATCTACAGGCTTTACCCACCTAGTTGTAACTCACGCTACTGTGGTACAGACTGAATGTGAAGCAAATATACTTCGCGTAGTAAGAAGACTCATAAATCGCTCCGTAGATATATGTGTATAAGGTTTTTGTGTGATATAGTTAACCTTTCTTCTCTATCGTGAACATTATCAGCAGATTTTAACTTTGGTGGCAAACAGGTATTTATTTCATTAGAGTGATAATTCTCATCAGAGAGCCTCTGCCATCGAAGAGAGTTGAAAGATCTTCAAGGTAATCTTCAAGTGAAATCTGTATGACACAAAATCTCAAGCTGATGGTTTTCGGCCTTTCAATTGCGAATTTTCTTTTTACACTTTTAAACCCGCAAGAGCCACTTCTTTTCTAAGACTAGTCTTTGAATCATTTGATGTTCATTCGTCTCTAATTTACAAGAAGAGACCTCAACACATAGCAAATGAGGCAAAACAAGGCAAGTTTATTAACAAACGTATCAAACTACCCAAAAATCGTTGGTGCTCTTTTCAAAGGAAAGTGATCTGTGCTGGGTCACTTTGTGACTCAGCTTCTTGAGTGGTATAAATAGGAGGGCATCGCGTGTGTAATCTCATCATTAAACAAAAACTGTGTATCTCTTTGTAAATACATTTAACTTACGCGGACTTTTTTAGGGCAGTGTAATCCATGGGCCAGAGTAGGTTCTCGGTACCACTCATCTAATGAAAGGTTATGTAAAAGACTCTTCAAATTCACTTGATAGCAATCGCGAAAGAGTAGGTTTTACCATTTTTTTAGTTGACTTAATATCAATAACCAGGGAAAAATGACAACAACAACAACAAAGAAATATTCGGGCAAATGCATGAAACCAGAACTCAATGAAGTAAAAACGGAGCAATCAATCAAACTGGTTTTAACTTTACATCACAACGATTCAGTAACAAATAGACAAACTTAGTATCGTAGATCTTTCTTGATTAAATTACAAGTAATTTTCACAAGTAATGTTAGAATTCAATTGCCAGTCATTATCTCTTTTAGTTTCTGCCTTTCTTAGTGCTAAGGGAATGTACATTGATTTACTACCCACGGGGGGGGGATTGAGGGAGGGGAACGTTCTTCATAAAAGAACAAAGGGATAAAATATTATTATCTGTAGGGGTTAAGAATAGTGATGGATACCTCTTGCATTACTGTACATAAAATGCTCTGAGAAAAACTCATCTTCACATGATGCTGGTGAATGAAGAGTTCCTAATAAAATGTGCAAACGCACTGGGCCGTTAACTTTGCACCTTAACAATTTTTTTTCCATAAATGGAATCAGTCGGAACTGTTACTGAATAAAGCCTGATAATAAAACCACGTGCTGAAATTTTGCCCCTCGTCTTCCATTGCTGGATTGCGTTATTTTCCTGTCAATGTCATCTGTTTCCGAAGGAAGTAAATAACTTACACCACGAATGTGAGTGCACATGCTGGCGTTACTCTAAAAAGAAAAAACAAACAATCAAACGAAAAAATACAGTAAAACCAACAATGAACGTGTTAACAGAGATTGCTGTTTCTGGATATCTTCTCTAGCGCTCCTTGGCTGGATTTCCGAAATTCGAAAAAAAAAGAAAGAAAGAAAAACCAGAAAACTTACACTAACATATCAGATGGAGCACCGCCGACTTCTGTCCAGTCAAACATATGGATTTTCTTTCGCCTCTGCCAAACCAACGAGATAAAAATACCTTAAAATACCGATTGATTTTTCAACCGTCACTTTTTCTTTGATACGTTACGGTTATTGTTATTATAGAGGTGAATTGCCAATCAGTTGGCATTCTAAGCCCAGAGATTGTCTTGAGCTTTACCTTGAGCCTTACCGGTAAAATGAGAGTGACTTTGCTCTAGGCTGAGAGATCATTACCTTCTATCAAAATCAAGACACCTGACATCTCCACAAATGTTGATGAGTGAAAAAAAAGTGGCTGTTGCACTTAGGTAACCTGGCCCAGACCTCCAAAACGTTCCCTAACATAATCTCAAAGATAACGCAACACAATCAGTTACTTGCAAAACATAAGATTATCGATTTGTTGATGGTGAGAGTGACTCTAAATGAGTACACTTCAAACTTCGAGTCTCTTGACTGAGAGAAACACCATGTCCCAGACGCCTTTTTTCGAAATAGTTTCACTATTCTTTTATTACACTTTTTTTTTTCGAATTTCTGTTGTTCTTAGCAGCAGAAACAAAGCAAGAATGTAAATATTGCAAAGGAAAGCTCGTTCATGGAAAAACGCCAACGTTTGACTGAGAGGTTTGAAATTTCAAAATTTAGACTACCTGTTCATGGTCTGAAATTCAAATTCAGTTGAAGGATTCCTTAGGATTAGAGGACATTAGGATCACACAGTTCTAACTCAATTTAGTCATTTCAAATAAAATTTTGTTCAAAAGTTCTCTTCTATTGTTCAGTCGCATGTCACATTTAAACAATGTTAAAATGAGTGAGCAGCCCCGCGTAAAAAACAAAAAACAAAAAACAAGCAACCCAGAAAGAGCGAGCCTCTATTAGTATAAAAGTTTCATATTCAAATGATGGTCATTAATAGCTGTTACGACCTGTCAAGTCTCTCATTTGAAAACAACCTATACGATACAATATCATATTGTGGTGACGAAGGGGTTGAAAGACACGCTAGGAATTCTTCAGTAAGTATAATTTGGGAGCAACATACATCATAAATTAAGTAAGGTAAGGATAAAAAGAATTTGAACACGTTAGATGACAAAAAATAACCTGTCACATTTGCAGCGTCATTAACTTAAATGAACTTGACGGTCGCCCAATTGTTAGTGTCAGGCTGAGTAATAAATTATTCATATTTTTCTGGAATTTCGTAAGTTTGTTTGCATTTCCGTAGAATATTTCTGCAATTTTCTTGGCCTGATCCTAAACTTAAATTCGAATTGTAGCTTCATCTCTTCACTCAAGTTTTTATGTCGTTCTCGAATAATGGAATCTTGTTTACTATGAACAAATTAACTGCATCCCACATCATCAATATTTGCTTTGCTTAGAACAGACAATTTGACGTTCCTCGAGGTTAATTATGTTTTCCTCCGGTTACGGATGGGTTTCTTTAGTTAGGAAATGGATAATGAAAAAAATTAGAGGGATATGTTATGAAAATACTCCTAAGAGCTGATTTTAAAGTAGCTTTGGTATGTTTGTAGTTAAAATTTACCAAACCTTAATTCGTGCCTAAAAAGCTAATAATTTATACCGATTAGTTTCATTTAAAATTAATGAAACAAGTATCTTCGCTATTGGTTGGCAAACATCGCAAACAGAACGATTATAATATTTTAACTTCCGGCCCGAATCTTGTTGAATTCAATACTTGCGAGGAGCCAAAACAGAAACGATGAAGTTTTTTTTTAATGTTAATTTTTATACATTGGCTTAAAACAAACGGTTGGTATCGTAATGATAGTTGTAATACCTTGATGAAAAACAGCATTTTTAACTCGGTAGCAATCAGGTGACTGAGGGCTGCATTTCGTATATTTATCAGCTCTAGAGTTATGTAGAATAAGTTTGACTTAAATCCCAAAATAGGGTTTGGTAAATATTTGACGGCAAACTAACTACTGCTACCTTTTAGGATTTAGTTTTCCGATATCACCTATGAATGCCATCCATAGAAGGCTTGTGTATTTGTTTTAACGCGATGGTTGTCGAATTCTACTTTGTTTTTACTTTCACTCAACGGTTTTGAGGTTTTGCGGTGCCTTGGAAAAGATTAAACGGAAAAAAAGAATTGTGGCAAATGTCATGCGGGAACTTACTTTATTCTCTATGTATAGAGGGCTGAAGTAGTCTCTAATACTGCCATAAACAATTAAAACAAAGAATTGATAGCGTTCATATAAGTTTCGGCTAGAACGGAATTATGAGGTTCATTTTGGATTAATGATTCGAAACAACTTTTCTCTCAACCTAATGATAACTGAGTCAAAAATATTTTTTTGGGAATAAATAGTAAGAGAATAAATTTCAAATTCCTTGACCAATCGTACTTCGTTTCTGCTTTAAGAAGTGGAATCTTCAGGAATTAATTATTTTCAAGTCACACAGGTGTTCTTATCTGGGACTCAAGTTTCATGCACAAAGGCTGTGCATTGAGTAACGAAGCTACCTGGCAACAATTTGACGCAAAGTGCGGATGTAACACAACCTACGACAAGGCAATTTTTTTACCGCTAAACAACAAATTAGAGATTCGTGTAAACGGTACAAAAATCATGTAAAGAGTTCTTCACTGTATAACGTTAAAAATAAAATCGAGACCAAAGATTTGCCGCAATTAGACTGGCCTTTTTCAATTGAAAAGCCTCAATTCAATCGACGAATTCACAATGCAAGTTCAACCTCGTATCTTCCCTCTTAAACTGATATGAAGGAGGAATCGAATCATTTTGTTCAAACCGAATCTTTAGCGCGAAAGTTCTGCCTCGTTGTTTAACAAGGGTGACGGAAATTGCAAGCACAATAAGATAAGGAAAAAACGGAGTCTTATTTAACCTTTGTTTTCCTATCAAATTGCCATCACTTCAATATTCTCTCTCATAAATCGAATGGTCACGAATGGTCACGAAAATATCGCAGCTCATAACAACATGGATCAAGATATTTCAACAAATATTTAGATGCTTGCCTCACTCGTTTCATTTTCATCTGTTAGTCGTGAGGCCGATCAACATCTCAGCTGCGATTCTATCTGAGAAACAACCTTTAAAATTCCCAAATAACTGCAAGAGATGTAATAGTTACCGATATCGAAGAAGCGGATGAACAAAGGAGTAGCAACTCAGACAGTAAAACATTTGGTTGACGTGTTGTTGACTTGCAGCCGATTCAGAATCCATTTATTTCTCCCTCCGTCTATTTTTAGGGCATTTTTGTTTGTTTACTTGTTTCGTTTGGTGTGCGTTGAATTTATGGGCCAGAAAAAAACTTTCAAAGCATATTTCTAAATAACATACACTTTCCAATTTCAGCATCGGTGGCGATGGCGTGGAATTCAAGCTACCTAACCCTACTGGCCTCTTTGTATCTCATGAACCTCGCTATTGCTAAAAATCCGTGCAAGACAGAATTTAGCGTACCTGGTATGGCTCTCAAAGGATTCGTCTTCAAAAAGGTGCCGGTAAAAGCTCCTCATGTGTGCGATATCACCTGCGAGAGAGAAACGATATGTCAAAGCTACAATTATGTAATTGGGGAAAAGTCCTGTGAATTAAACACCCGAACCAAGGAAGCAAGGCCCAAGAATTTCCAGCCAGACGATTCACGCTTTTACATGGGACGCATTAGTGGTAGAAGTATGTATCCGGTTTAGTTTATTTTACATAAAAATCTTTCTCAGTGAGTTCCCAGTAAGACCTAGCTACTTTCCGAGAGCTAGTGTCTGATTGCTTTGTTATTAAATAGGGTCAGTGTCTTAAAGCAAAATTCGCCTTCCATACATACATTGATATCAGCTAAACTTCTCAGCTCTTAATTTTTTGTTATTCCATGTTTATCTTTCCCGGACAAATATATTTTCAGATCTAATCTGTTTTGCAACTTCTATTACCCTTAAACCATTAATGAAGTCATGTCTATTTATTAGCCCCCTTAGGATCTATTCCCGAATTACCAGCGTTATCGTGCCAAGAGATAAAATTAAGTGAAGGTAAAGACAGCATCAGTAAAAATTACTGGTTGGATCCAACTAATTTCGGGAGCTCAGAGTTGGTTTACTGCGACATGAATTTGGAAGGTAAGTCAGTATACCAAGAACAGAATTTACACAACGTTTGGTCTACCTTTGCCCTGGCCTTTTGTGAAATGTTTTCACCTTGTCTCAGTGATTTCTGAATGTAAAGGCAGCAATAAAGTTTGTGACGAAAATGCAAACTGCTCCAATACTGTTGGGTTTTATAATTGCACCTGCAAAGACGGATTTACTGGGGATGGACGCTTGTGCTCAGGTAAAATAGTTACAGACATGCCGAGGTACAATATTTAATTATTTTTCGCCTAAAAAACACTAGAGTTACATTTGAGCTATCTACAATCGAGTGAGTCAAGCTTGTATGCTATATCAGTGGACCCTTAGCATTACACAACGCAATTTAAGCAGGAACTACTGTCTTACTAGAGCTAAGTTTTGTTTTTTTAAGCAGCATTACCCATACATGTTTATACAAAGAGTTGCCATGATCTACATCCGGTTTTTTCCAGAGCCATCATGTTAGGAGACTAAAAAAATAACATTGGAGAGGAGAATATAATATCTAGGTTGCACGTTTCAAAAATCTAGTTCATTAAAGACGAAAACGTGAAAGCTTTTACTTATTATTTGAAATGATGAAAGTAATTATAAATCGTCAGGTGACAAAAATAAAGTGCAAAATGCATTTACGGTTTCTCAGATATTGACGAGTGTATAGGATATCACTCCTGTCACGTGAATGCTAAGTGCAATAACACCCTTGGATCACATACATGTGAATGTCAGCCTGGATATACTGGAAATGGACAAAACTGCGAAGGTGAATTTAATGTCTTCGTTACAATATTTAGAATAGTCCTGCATGACACGTTTGACTACAGCGCCGCACCATTCAGCCGTGTTGCAAGACAATTAGATAATTTACTACTCATATATCACTCGTTATGATTTAGGCAGCCGTTCCTCTCGTTAAGAACCTCTTAGGTAACGTCCCTGATTTTTAAATGAACAATCTTGGTGACTTATGTATTGTTATTCTCCACTAAAATTAACCTTATCACAATGATTGACAGAAGCATGAAAATAAAATCGCTCGTTTGGCTCTGAACCTTGTGCACAGGATGGATATGTGAGTGATTTTCGATGGTGCTACGTTTTCGCTGACGCGTAAGATATATTTGAGAGAAAAAAGTTGAAAGTTATTATCATCAAGTTTTACAAAATAATCAAGATACTACGGGCGCCATGACTGGCCAAAAAACAACCGTTGATTGCACCGATAAACTCATGGAAAATTAAAGTTTAAATTACTAAAGTAAAAGACAGCTTTTTTTATCGGATTACCAGCGTAGTAAACGTCCCCAGATGTTGGGAAACCATTCGAAAAAAAAAAAAAGGAAATTAATCGCCTCCAGCTAGTAATTACAAACTTACGTCATGTCCTCACAACATCCCCCGTGGGTTATCTCGACAGTTAACTGATAGAAAGAGCGATGAATAAAGGGGGTAAGGTTCTAAAGAAGCTGTGGTGCTGCGTCGGTAGGAGAGTGTAATAGGGTAATTAAGTATTATCAACAATTTTTTTACTGTGTATTGTACATTGACGAATGTAGCAAGGCCCATCCCTTTAAAATGAATAAATGCCATCCGAATGTACCTTGCACTAGTACCCAGGGCTCGTACAATTTCTCTTGCAATCCCACGCTTATTGGAGATGGTTTTGATTGTCAAGGCTAGTTTGGTTTTTGAAGGCGATGAAATTTTTGTTTGGTTCTCACGTTGAATGTAGCAGTAAATTTCTTAGAGTTTACTTTCATCCGACATTCACATCTGGGAGGCATACTTTTACGCTCCCTTGATCACAAGAACGAATCAACTTTTGATTATAGGGGTAAGTTTCTAAAGAAACTGTAGTGCTGCGTCGGTGGGAGAGTATAGCAGGTAATTCAGTGTTACCAACCAAGTTGAAAGCGTAAATTGGCCACCGTAAAGAGTAAAAAAGCTAATCTACGTTTTCAACTCAGTTGTTAACACTAAATTACCAACTGATTATGTTTTAAATGATTTCAAAACCTTACACAAACTTTACATTATGGAGACACGATACTCTCCGTGGCACTTAAAAACTCTTTAATAATCTCTAACCTTCCAAGATTCTCTTATAATAAGAGCAGTTATGATCAATCAAACTTATTTGACTTATGCAAGCCAATTCGCGTTATGATTACAAATAATTGGATGATGCTAGTAAGCGGAGAGTTATTACACTCTCATAGAAAATAATTGGGTACAAGCGAATACTTCTGGGCTGGCATCGTTGTGTGGGAGCTGAGGATCAATACTGAGGATGAAAAATGTCTTAAACGCATTTGGCAGCATCCAGTTGAAGTACAAACAACTCGGGCTTTGATGGGCGATTAAAGCAAGAGGAAACGTAATTCTTTATGATGCTATCATTTCATTTTAGTTCCTTTGTGCATCATCATTGGCTAACCCAAATTCTTCTAACCCGAATTCTTCAAAACCTGAGTGACGCTAAGAGAAAGAGCAGTTAAGCTACACCAAAATTTGGTCCATCGTTTTGTGGCAACTTACTCCCCGCGGAATTTTTTTTTTTTGAGAGGGGGGGGGGGTATCAGGAACAAGCCAGTTGTTTCAGAGCCTTCTGGTTTAGAAGGTTATCTTTGTTACTACAACCTTTTTTTGTAATGTTTATTTCATTTACTAGCCGACCCATGTTATTATCATCAAAACCTGAATGATGCCAGTAGAAAGAGCAGTTACCTAACACCCCAGTTCCAAGAGGTGTGTGACGACCACCTTGTTGAGGGATGGTATCGTTTTGTGGGAGCTGCAGGAACAAAAATGCCAACAACGCGTGTGCCAGCATACAGATGTGGTACAGAGTGGTCTGGCTGGTTGGATGCTGCTCATCCTACAGTGGAAGAAGGTGAAGTTCGAAGGACGGTCTGCTTTAGTGATCGCACTACTGGTTGCAAATACGCAACATATATTTTTGTAAAAAACTGTGGATCCAACTTCATCTACAAACTTAAAAGCCCACCTGGTTGTCCCTCACGCTACTGTAGTACAGACTGAATGTGAAGCAAATATGCTTCGTGTAGTAAGAGGACTAATAAATCGCTCCGTAGGTAATGTGTACAAGGTTTTGACATGCGACGTATTCAACTTTTCTTCTCTATCGTCAACATTATCAGTAGATTTTACCTTTGGCGGCAAACAAGTATTTATTTCATTAGAATGATAATTCCCATCGGATAGCCTTTGTCATTGAAGAGGGAATTGCCCAAAGGATCTTTAAAGTAATCTTCAAGTAAAATCTGCAAGACACAAGCTCTCAAGCTTATGGTTTTTTAGCCTTTTATGTTTTTGTTCTTTTTCGTTTTTTTCATCCTTCAATTGCTGTAATTATAAATCATGATTATTTTAGCGTAGGCCAGTGGAATACAAACAGGTGCTATCTTTCGTTAAAGGCGTAGAAAAAAAAGTGATGACTCTCAAAATCCGATGTCCTTTGAAATTACAAAAAGTTAACGTAATAATAGTGACTCAGTATTTTGAAACGTTGAACCAATTTCCAGACACACAGTCAGCAAATTCAATGGTTTAGCCTGCGTAACCGTGTGTTAAATGTGTCCGAATCGACCAGAATTCATTTGAAATTAATGGATCGCTTACATCTCACGCTTATTTTGAATCCAAGTTAAAGATCTTTACGCAATGGCTTCAAAGTGTCCCTATGCAGCTTATTTAACTAAGCGCACGGGCACTTCATTCATTCCTGACGAAATTTGTTAAAATAATTTTATACAGGTAATCACGCGTTTCCAGTGTAATTTGGGATAAAACAGAACGAAAAAATTTTCAACGACTGACCAAACTGTATGAACCCGTAGGGCGAGTGCAACTTGCATGTGTAATATTAAGTTTAAAAGCTGCATGTAGCTTTTAAAAGTTGACCTGTTTTTACTATGGTTAATGTTTGCCTACAACATAAACACGCTAAAAGTAAGGTATTCAGAACTGCAATGTGATAAAAAAAAAGTATTTAGAGTAGCTTAGGTAAACACAAGTTGTAAACAACTTTTTACACCGTTTAAGTACATCACCAAAAATATTATACAGGAATGTTAGATTTGAAATCAAAATCAGTTTCTCTCGGCGAAGTTTTCCTTTTATATAATGCAAACATATTCAAAGAATCCTATGAAAAATAGTAAGCGCAGAAAAGAAACCCACTCTTACCGTAACCCCCAAAGGCTACTGCCTGATATTTCAATATTCTAACTAAGACTAGTCTCCCAATCATTTGATGTTCATTTGTCTCTAATTTACAATAAGAGACTTGAACACAAAGCAAATGAGGCAAAGCAAGGCGAGTTTCTTGACAACGTATCAAAATATAGAAAAATCGTCGGTAGACTCTTCAAAGTAAAGTGATATGAGCTGGGTCAATTGTGGCTCAGCTTCTTGAGTGGTGTAAATAAATTATCTCATTATTTAACAAAAACTGTGTATCTCTTTGTAAATAAATTTAACTTACACGGACTAGTTTCATTACACGAACACGAGTAAGCGTTAAGGGCAGTGTAGTCCATGGGTCGGAGTAGGTTCTCGATACCACTATCTGATAGCGATCGCGAAAGAGTAGCTTTCACCGTTCTTTACTGAAGTTAATGTCAATAACCAGGTAAAAATAACAACAAAAACAAGGAAATGTTACAGTGAAGTAAAAACAGAGCCATAAATCAAAACTGGGTTTAACTTTACATCGCAACGATGCAGTAACAAATGGAGAAAGTTATTGAAAAATATTTTAACGTAAGGAACAGAAAAAGGAAAATAAGGTAATTTTTAACTTAATATTGAACATTTTTCTTGATTAATTGCAAGTAGTTTTCACAAGTAATGTTTGAATTATGAAGTTAATAGTAATAAAAAAAAAATTGCAAAAAGGCATCTCTTGTAGTTCATGCCTTTGTTAGTGCTAAGTGGATGTACATAAATTTGATACCCGTATGGGAAAAGGGACAAAAGGGAGGGGGAAGGTTCTTTATAAAAGAACAATGGGAGAAATCATTGTTACCCTTAGGACCTGATAGTAATAATGGATACCTTTTGCATTGATGTAAAAAAATTGCTCTGAAAAAATTCATATTCACATTCCGCTGGTAAATGAAGTTATCGATAAAATGTGTAAACGCACTGGGCGGTTAACTTCACTCGGTTAATATATTTTTTCCATAAATGAATCAGTTGGAACTGTTGCGGAATAAAGTCTGGTAATAAAACAAGGTGCTGTAGTATTGCCCATTGTCTCCCGTTGCCGGATCCCATCATTTATCCTGTCGATGTCATCTGTCCGGCAGAAGGAAGTGAATAACGTTTTCGTACACCACAAATGTAAGTGCACATGCTGGCGTTACTCTAAAAAGAAACAACAATCAACAACAATCAAACGCACAATACACAGTAAAATCGACAATGAACGTTTTACATATATTACAGTTTCAGGGTTTCTTCTAAAGCGCTCCTTTGCTGGATTTCCAAAAAAAGTATCTTAATTAAGTATCTTAATAATTTCACAGTATTCGAACATGTAACTGACGAAAACAATGACATGGCACCTACTCCAAATTTTATAGCCTCTTAATGTATCTATCGCCTGTCTCTTCTTCCCAGTTTCTCACAGATAGAGGGTGCAAATAAGTTCAAACACCTTATGGGGGTACCCCATCTCTTAAGATCCTTTCCTTTACAAAGTGCCACCTAAAATTAAAGATGAGAGCCCACTAAGCCCTCTTGGCCAATTCTAGATTATACAATGCGGTTCAACACATAAAACTAACAAGCAAATCTACTTATATCATCAAATTTTTAACATTTAGCCTTACCTGAGGACACTGGGAATTAATCCTTTATAAAATCCTGTTACTCCTTCATGCCTAAGATTTTGAAAAGAACCTGCCGTGAGGAGAGGCCAGAAAAAGAAGAATACCTTCTTCCATAAAAATGTGGACTTTACCACTAAGCCGTAAGTCAATCCGAAATTGGATACAGTTCTCAAACAAGCTGGTTTCAGTTCTCCGCCAATTTTGGTCCAGTTCTTTGTCAAATTGTTTCAAACGGGCAAAACATGTACCTCTCTTTAATGCAGAGGGTTTGAAACTAGATATGGAAAGCTAGTCTATAACGTATCGAAAACTTTAAGTCCTCAAGTCAAGTTCCAACTTACCTGAAAGTCTTACTAATCACATCCAACGCGCCTTTGTATTCCACCATCGTGTACTGATTCTTTAGAAAAGTAAAATTCATGAACAATAAATGTCAGCAGGAAATAGTAAATACTGAACGATTTAACAAAACAGACTTGCTTAGAGACAGCTCCTGATATATTCAATTGGTTTTAGCTAATTTTATGGGCACAGGATCAAAACTTTCGCGCCGTGCGTTCTCATAACCATCTTGGATCCGTGTTTCTTAAGAGGAATAGGGAGAGTGAAAGAGGGTGAAAGCTACTCTCCCTCGTGAGATTTGGTATTTATCCACATTGTAGGGTTTCCCTGGCCTTTTGTTGGTGCCCATTTGAACCACTGGGGGGGGGGGGGATGTGTGGGGCTAACGAATCTTTTCCCAAGGAACCGACACAATGACCTAGCTGAGGCTCGAGGCTCGAGCACAGGTCACATCAACCTGGAGTCCAGTAAACCAACCGATGAGATCACCGGCCTGAAAACTAAAAACGGCCTTAAACTACAAGTTTATTTAAAGATAATAGCATACAAAAGTAAAACGAAATCTAAATCTGTGTCAAAAAGGTTAATAATTTGCTAATGAATCTCCCATTCTAACCTGAAGTCTTGCTCTAACCACTTGATAAGGATATGTCGCTGTTGCAGCGAAAATTTTCGACAGTGAAGCCATTACAAGGTACTCAGTTGAACTCTATGAAGAAAATGAAAGTTAGCAAAACATAAATTAGAGAGCAAAACACTTTATATAAAAAAAAAAGAACTACTATATTTTCAGCACTTCAGAGTGATTCCCAAGATAACCCATGGTTACATAATAATAACCGTCATCCTATAAGTACCATCCTACCAGCCACATGTACAACAAAGGTAATAGAGGTTGTCTTTTGGACGTCAGTTGTAGCTTCAAAATGCTGAAGCTCGTCATGGAGGACTACTACTCAAGATGAGAAGCCAAAAACTTCCCCCACCCTTCCCTCTCTCATGTTCTCCCTTTACATTCGCCACTGGCCACTACATGTGTTCGTATTGACCCTTTACACCCTAACATCAATATTCATATACTCCATACTGTTCTCTGTACATTTCCAAAGATACTAACAAGGAGAATTTCTTAAACAGTCAAGAACTTTTTCGGTGGCTGAATATTTCCTCTATTCTCATGACCTCCATGTGTGATTCAGAGGTGATATTGTAAGGAGAAGTTAGATGTCAGTCAATCTTGGGGGGGGGGGGGGGGGGGCAAAGGGTTGATTCTTATCAATCCTTCTGGGTGGAGAGGGGAGTTGAGAGAAAAGTTTCGTTCCAGTAAATGACAACACTTCATTCATCCACCCTATTAACATGATCAGAGTAAAAGCACTTCACATGTTTTGTATGTCAAGGATTAAGATCAAGAGTTTCTTGTTTGCTAACTCGGATGAATTTGTGAGCTTTAACACGTATACAATCAACTATACAGACACGTGCAGACAGTATTCACCAGCTTCTTGTTGATTGGTGTTCCAAAATATTGACTGTAGCCTTTCTCCAGCTCCTCATAGGCCATGAATTGCAGTGCTCCGTGTGATACGCCAAAAATACCTGGAACGTAACCCTGGTCAAGTAAAATATAATGATATGAGCAAACTTCATGTTCCATCCAAACACATAAACTCAGGTAAACTCTAAGCTAGGCAAAGATAGCGAGGTCTTAACTCTAAGACTGATGTTTGTGCTTCTCTTTTGTTCTTGCTCTTTCCTTCCCTTTTTCTCTTTTTGATTGTTTTTTTTTTCCTCCTTTTTTTAAGGAGGTTTGAAAACCACTGTTGGCTTAGTGCATATGCAACAACCAAAACATACTAGCTACATAATTAAAATGTTTTACATTAAGTCTCAAAAGTGAATATCAGAGACATAATTGTGATTGCATCATGCAGACCTACAT